TTTGTGTCTAAGTTGCTCATATTCTTCAGGATTGTTCAACTAATACTCAGAAGTTGCGTTTCCAGAGACGCCCCCTAACAGGCTGAGCCGCCCTGTAGCCGTGTCGTCCATCCCCCGGCCGCGGCCGTGCCTTCAGGAGCACGCTGGCTGGCCCCGTCCCCTCGCTGCGCAGACCTGACCTTGAAAGCCACGGAGAGACAAACCCTTTCCCAGTGTCCCCACCGCCTGAGGGTGCCCAGCCGGTGACTGCGTTAGAGTTCGATGCCATTAGCTCGCTTGCCTGGGGTTTTTCACCTGTGAAGACCCAAATAATGTTTTCGCTTGTCAACTTATGCGCAGTATCATAAAAGGTCTAAGAGATGACTCACTTTTTTCCCTATTTAGGAGATGTTTCTTAACTGACTTTTCCAGAAGCCTAACATGAGTTAATTTTTTTCAAAAATCCATTGGGTGAAACACCTTACATGTCTTCAATTTACTGTGCACTGTCAGCTTTTACCACTTGGCCGTCACACAGCTGAGGAGCAGAGGGGGCTTGCCAGAGAGCTGTGCTGCAAAAAAGATGAGGCAACTGGAAATTCTTCATGGGCTGCCACTCACCGCAAGGCCTGTGACGTCACGGAGGCTGCTTGGACAGATTCCCACTCCCAGAGATGGATGCCGTGGGGTCTGGGGCTGGACCACCCGACTCCAGCCCTGCCAGATGCCGGCATCTGGCGGCTTCATGTGCATCACAGGCGGGGAGAAGTGGAGCAGCGTCCGTGCGTGTTATTTATGGTGCGTGATTACAGGTGCTGAGGTCGTTTGTCCGGATCTGGCAAAACACGCAGGATTGGGGCCTCCCCTGGTGGCGCAGCGGTTGAGCGCTGGGCTGCGAAGCTGCCCGCAGCCTCTGCAGCGCCGGTTCGATCCCCGGCCACCGGGCGAGGGTCTCTCCCACATGGCGCACAGACCTCTCCTGCCGCCCGCTGCTCCCCTCAGCAGTGTACTTCATCAGTCTGCCTGTTCTGCTCCCCGCTCTGGCTCCGGTGAATTCTCTCACCCTCCTGTGCATCTGACTATACCCAGTGCTTGTATAAATGAATGGTTAAATCTTTAAAAACAAACAAACAAAAAAAACCCACTCAGGATGCTTCTTGAACAGACAGGCCTGGCGGCCGCCTCCCACAACAACAGTCACCACACCTGCCCCAGTTGGGCTCTGTGCGCCTTGCATTGTTTCATTCCAGAACCAGCTGACAGGCAAGGGTCCCTTCTGCAGCCCCTACTAGGAGGCATCTGCGGCAGTGGGTGGCTGTCTTCCCCCAGCCTCATCAGTGGCCACGTATGGGCCAGGGCGGGCAAAACCCAGCGAGACACAGGAGTAGACTGAGGCTGTGCGGGGAGACTGGGCAAAGCACGTTGGAGGAGTCATGCATCTGGGGTAGTAAAGTGACTCTGGGAGAGTGGATGGCACACGGGTAACTCGAGGCCACAGCCTTGACGGAGCTCCCCAGGAGGAATCAGGCCGCCTGCCCCAGGACATGTGACCCTGACGCTCGCCATTCCGCTTTGTAGTCAGTGATCTCAACCTCTGCGCCGCACTACCTCCCCGGGGTGAAATGCCACACCCCGGGAAAGGCCACCGGGCAGAACCGAAAGCTTTCTGTGGCCGTGTTGACTGAGCAGTTCAAAATAAGCTCTGTCAATGCAGGTTTGGAAGGTCCGAGGGGCAGTACAAAGGCCGAGGTCTCTCGCGCCTGGTCTGGGTGCGGTGATGATGTCCATCTTCAGGGTCTTGGGCAGTCCCTGGGGAGCCCATACTCAGGATCAGGATTTCAAAAGGTGAAGAGAGGCATCGATCACTGTATTGATCTGTACGTGCAGGCCGTACCTTTGTTATCAAATTCACTCATGCTTGGCTAAAAGCCTGTCAACTTAAAGTGCTCGCCGTGTTCTCTCGGTGGCTGGCGATGAGCGAGCAGGCGAACTGTCAGGTCACAGGTAGCGCCCAGGACCGCACTGCGCACCTGACAGGGGCATGACGGGACTGAGTCCAGTAACACCGTGAGCGTGGCCATACACCCCGAACGCTGACGTTTGTAATTCCTCAGTGAGTTCATGAATTCTTCCGAGGTATGCTCTTGAGTGAACGAGACGCCTGTGATTTTGTTTTCTTGGCTAGTGTGTTTTCCAGTTGATGATGGTTTCTAGATTTACGTGAATGATGTAATCAAACTCACTTCCACCTGAGTAATTGCCTGATTTCAGATTTCCCTTTGTGCTAATGAACTGCCGGGCCTTGAGCCGCCACGGGCAGCAGCTGTGCCCTCGTGGGCCACTGCGTGTAACTTCCGGCAAAACCTGCCAACTCTGAGATCTTTCCCTGCGAAGCTGTAGGTCTTGGAGAAGAAAATGCTGAGGTAGCTAGAACCTGGCAGGCTCACCAGCGAATTCAGAGGGTCGCTCCTACAATGGGTAGATGCTTCGCCGTGGAGCTCACGTTGTGGTGGTGAACGCAGCTGTTGGGGGGCGCGACGGGGCCCAAGTCGGGAGGCTGCCGGGAGGGCGGGGCTGTACGGGTGCCATCGCTGGGCTCAGTAACAGCTGTCATAAAGGAAAAGTCACGGCATCTTAGTTTAGAGTGACCTGGGGACGCGTGTAAAGTTACCCCGCCTCATGCAGGTCTCCCAGGATGATGAAAGCCGGATACGAGAGGCCGCCAGGGTCTTTACAGAAAGATGGGTTTTGAGCCAGGACTTCAAAGCGTGTAGACCACAGGGGAAATGCTGGTCTGTTGAACACCTATTTTTCACCTTACTTTCTTGTCTGATAGCACTTTATTTGCTTTAAACAACACCCCCTTTCTCCTGCGCCCCTAGTTTGTGAAACTCCTTAACTTGGCACATGTGGCTCACATCCCATGTGGGAGGAGCGGGGAGGCCTGTGCTCGCGTCGTGAGGCGCCGGCCTGTCCGTCCCTGGATGGGCGTCTGTCACGCTGGCAGGTCCAGGACGAGACGCCAGAGCTGCCTCGGGGCTTCCTGTGGGCCTGTGTTCACTGCAGCGCTCACACTGCGGTGGGGTCAGCCGCCTGCGGGCCCACCCTGGCTCCTCGGCACTGCCCAAGCTCATGCCAGCAGGGGAGCCGGAAGCCTGGGCCGGCCGGCCGGCCTGGGAGCCCGCGGCATTGAGCATGGTGCTGAGGGGGCGCCGGGCGGGGGGCAGTGGTGCTGGGAGCAGGCAGCTGCAATGCGCAGGGGTGCCCGCAAGAGCTCAGAGCGCCACTGTGAGCCGAGAGCACCGCTGGGGAGGAGCGAGGTGTCCACGTGTCAGGGACGGGGGCGGCGTCTGGTGACTGAGGGGGGCGGCAATGAGGGACGTGGCCTTGTCTTTCACTGCCCGGCGTCCTTGAGTGTCCTGATCATGTTCGGGGAAAAGGGTGCCCGGAGCACACTCCATACAGGCTTCGGGGGTTGCCCTGTAACAGTAACAGCGTGGCTGGGGGGGGTCATCCACGTGGACTTGGCGTTTGAGTAGCCGTGTGTCTGCGGTCGCATGGGGCTCTGGGCTGGACGGTGCCCGCGGGGGCGGCTGTCTGAGCCTGGGCGGTGGCCTCCGAGCATGCCGTCCCGCAGGCTGCTGCCCCTCAGACCTGGCTCGAGGCCGTCACGGAGCTTGGTCTCCGGGTTCCATCAGCCCCTTCCTGGCGACGTGGCTCTGGTCTGCAGGTCCCTGGAGGGCAACTGCGGAAATCGCGGACCCACGGCCACAGCCACCCCCCAGTCGCTGCTTTGGCCTTTGTGTCGTTGCCCAGACAGTGAAGGGCGCCCAGCCCCGGTGCTCAGTGTTGCTGGGAGTTGAAATGAGCCCCGGGCGGGGCGGGGGCGGGGGGACGTGGGGGCCCACCCCCACCCACTCAGCTCCTCAGTCCCCTTCTTTCTGGACCTTGACATTTTATTTAAAACCACTTTGAAAGGCCGTTTTGATACAAATTTATCAAGTTCTTATCCGGTCCCAGGAAGCCTTCAAACAGGAACCCAGGGCCCAGCAGGGTCGAGGCCGGTCCCCCATCTCGGAGGGGAAACTCAGGCCCAGCGTTGCTAGTGACCTCCTCACCGGCAGGGAGCAGCAGCGCGGCCAGCGTGTGCCCCGGCCAGGCGGTCACTGCAAGGCCCGGCAACCCCAGGCAGCGGCTCCGACGTTGGCCTCCGGGCCCCCCACGCCTGTTCCCAGGGCAAGACGCAGGACAGCAGCCCCGGCAGCCAAGGGGGAGGGCCGGCGCCTGTGACCCACAGCAACCACAGCCCGGGGCTGACCGGGACGTGGGTCCCTCACACCAAGGGGAAGCGCTCCGGGGCACAGGCGCGGCTCAGGCCTGGAGACAGGGCATTGATGTCGGTTCCTCGGTGCTCACTCACCGCGTGTGAGGCTCACCATGGTGCTGGTGGGCTTGCCCCGGCCTGTCCCATCTGCGCCCCCCCCCCCTTGACCAGGACCTTGCTGCTGCCATAGTCTCGCATGGCCTGAGTCCGCCCCAGGGGCTGCGCTGTGCCAGGGCAGGACAGCTCCCTGCTGGGCAGGGACGCAAGCTTCGTGTTCTTTCCTCACGGGCGGCTGTAGGACCAACCCCTGCAGACACCAGCTGGCAGTGCCGGGCCTTCCCCTCCCCACTCCCGATTGTCCACTCCCAGAGCTGCGCCGGGGACACTGGCCTGCGAATGGACGCCTCCACCATCGCTGTGCGGCGTTGGGCCGGAGTGCCCGGCTGTGGGTCTGCCTGGCCACCATACTGCGCAGGCCTGAGCCGCGGTGCCGTGGGGTGTCACCTCCCAGCAGGTGCGCAGCAGCCTGGGCACGAGAGCCAGGTCTGAGCTTTGGAGCCCGTCTCACACTCCTGCTCTGCCAGAGGAGGCTTGCGCAGGCGCCCGCTGCCTCGCCCGGCTCTGCAGTCTGACTGTGCTGCTCACTCGCGGCCTCGCCACGATGTGGCCGTAATCCAAGCTTCCCTGTCTCTTTCAGTCTGCGGAGACATCCATGGGCAATTCTTCGACCTGATGAAGCTCTTTGAAGTGGGGGGGTCCCCTGCCAACACGCGCTACCTCTTCCTGGGGGACTACGTCGACAGAGGGTACTTCAGCATCGAAGTAAGTCCAGCGCGCGTGCGGGTTCCTCGAGGGAGGGCCGGCGGGTGTGGGTGGAGCAGGAGCCGTTACTGTGGCTGCCGGCCACGCTGAGCGCTGGGGCGCGGCTCCTGGGACGCTCCATCGCCTGCTTTCCGGGGCTGCTCCGGGGCTTCTGACGCCTCAAGAGATGCCGAGGAAATGGCGAGGCGTGGGGTTTTGCCTTTTGTGCATTTCACACATTTGCCGCTTTGCGAAAATTACATATTTTTTTTTTTATATCAGAGAATTCTCTTCCTTGTGGAGAGAACTAATCAGACGTGGCGTAAGAATCAGGGACATGTGGTAGCCTTGTAGCCTGTGCGTCCTGCCTGTGCGAGCCTCTGTGTGCACGCGTGCGTGTGTACACTCACAGCTGCTGGCTGTGTCCTTGGGGACACCTGTCCTTGATGTGGGGTGAGCTGTCCAGCGTGTTAATTAAAGCCAAATCAGATGACCTCCGAGGCTAGGCTCCGCCCAGCCTGCCGTCAGCGTCTGCCTCGGGTAAGTGGAAATTCCAGCTTGGACCGAATTTCCTTGCGTGTTGGGTGCCGAGGTCTGCCTGCCTTGCCCGGCATCACACATTAACCGTTTCTCCAGGAGCGACCTGCAAGGAGAGCAAGTTTTGAAAAAACAGGATGCGCAGCAGAGCCGCTGGCCCGTGTCCCCACACCCCATCCCGCTGTGAGGAGGGGGAGCTGTCTCCCACCTGGGGCGACCCCTGGGAGGGGCGCGGCTGGTCAGCTGCATGGGCAGTAGCCGTGACAGGCCGCAGGGATCGCAGGGGCTGCCGGAGCGAAGACTCCAGGCGGTGCAGCTTCCTGTTGCTTCCCCGATGTTAAGGATACGTGCAGCCTCGTAAATGCCCCAAGAAGGAAGTTCCTGGTGATGCCCGAGGTCATCCTGCTGTGACGCCCAGGCGGGCCTCGGCGGAGGCGGAGGCGTGGTGGGGAGGGCCAGGCAAGCTCTGTGGGAGCCCCACCCGGCGAGGGGAGCCCAGGGCTTTCGGTGCTTCTTCCCGCCAGAGGAGGGTGGGGAGGCCATGCTGGATTCCTTCTAAATAGACTCACTTTGCTTGAGGAGCCGTTGGCACAGGCGGGCGTCTCCAGCTCCCGCTCCGTGGGTGACACAGTTTCTTAATCCCTTCGGCCTCTTGCCGACATTAGCTTCTGATCCTCCGCCTCAAGCCACTTGGCATTCTCGAGGCTCTCCGTAACTCGAGTGTTTGTCGAGCTGTCTGTCTTGAAGAGGTTGAGCAGCAGCCATCAAATGATGCATCTCGGCCTCAGCTGCCGGAGGGCGTGTGGAGGCTCTGAGGTGCTTGGGCCAGAGGCCCCGCCTTCCAGACAGCTCTTCACTTACACCCCAAGAGTCTGGGGAGCAGCCTCTAGGCACGCCATGTGCCTGCAGAGATGACAGAAATGCAGTGGCCTCGTGTGTGAAGATGGTCTGATTTGATAAGAATGTGACCTCTGAGGGGCTTGGGGATGACTCACGGATGCCGTCATATCTAAGACAGGTCTCCCTACTCAGGGAGCCCGTGTGGCTGTGTCGGGCCCGGAGGCTGACGTGTGTGATGGCCTCCCGCCCCGCCCGCCCCCAGCACCTCGGTGCCTCCCTTTCCCGATGCACGGCCCAGGCCAGGGGGCCGCCGGCGATGTGGCTCACGGGGCCTGGAGTCCGCACCCCCACCCTGTGTCCAGCCAGCGGTTTGGCAAGCCAACCACAAGGCCTCATGTGGGTCCTGCAGAGACTCTTATGCTACAGGTGTGTGTGCAGGCCCTCTCCCCCCATCTGAGGCCCGCGGCGTCAAAGCAGACACACTCTTGAACTGTTCGCTCCAGAAAAATCCTGAAGGCAGAGCCGGCCTCCAGCGTGTGCTGTCCCGGCTGACTGCGGGGCTCTGTCCCCCTCGGACCTGCCGCCCCGCCGCGTCCCAGGAGGGGCCCGAGTGCGGTTCTGACCTGGCCAGTTGGGTGCGCAGGTCCTGCCCAGGAGGCCCCGACACGGAGCTCACCTTGTGCAGCCCCCCTGCCTCTCCCGCATCCCCTCTTCTTGCCAGAGAAGTTGGCCATGAAGTTGGCCCAAATGAGTCCAGCAAGCTTTGAGTGGTGAAGGAAGACGTGATCATCTCACTAGTTTCTACTGCTCCTTGTTGATGGTGATTTCACAAGAAACGTTCCCTTTTTAAAGGAATATCGGGTCTGGTCTGAAGGCCTCGGCGCCCAGTGTCAGAGCCCGAGGGGCCCAGCACTTGCCAGCCAGGGGGTCCTGCCTGGCGGCCCCTCCCTCCCACCACCCCTGCCTGTCACCCCCACACGCGTCCTTCCACGCTGGCGCCTGTGTGCGTCCAGGCCGTGTGTGGAAGGACGCTCCGCGCCAGCCACAGGAGAGAAGGAAGTAGAATGTGAGGAGAGGCTTATTTTCTGGGTGGTTTGAGCCAAGAATTGGCACATGGAGTCATGCCCTCCCCCTCCCCCCCCCCCGCCTGCCCGCTCACTCATGGAAAGGAGGGTCCCTGGACTCTCCCTCACCAGGCCCCTCGTGTCTGTGAGGTTGCAAGGGGCAGCATATGTGTGCCCCGTGACTGCAAGCTGGGGGGCCTGGCAGGGACCCCACGGGCCCTCTCTGGTGGCTGTGGGGTCTGGTGCGGGGGGCTGGCGCCGGAAGGCTGGAGGCCGGCTGGTGAGCCGGTGCTGAGGTCAGCGCGGGGCCTCCACGGGGCAGGACGCAGGCCGGTCGGAGACCCCTGGAGCAGCTGGCGGGCTCGGAGGCGCCGAGACACGAGCTCCGCTGTCAGGAGAAGCGTTACCGGCAGGGCTGGAGGGAGGGGCTGCGGCTGCCTTTGCGAAAGGGCCCCGACTGGACGGCAGAGGGGCGTCCGTGCCAAGGGCAGCTGGGTCTGGCCGGGTGTCCCGGGAGCGAGGGCCCGTGCAGTCACGTTCACACGTGGGAGATGACGGACCCGCACGTACCGTGTGGGCTTCACGCGGTCAGCACTTGCCTCGCTGCCCACCGTGTCGGTAGGTGCCTTCCCTGCGCGCTTTCAACGAGGAAACATGATTTTCCACAGCGCTGTTATACCCGCTCCCGCTCCACCTTAGACAACCAAAGTGAATGAGCATTTGAGAGACATGTGTTTCTTTTCTGTTGAGGTACGGCCTTCTACATTTTACCAAAAAACAGCCCGCTCGGCGGCATTAACAGCAGTTCATCTTCTCTGGAATGGGAGACAAGCTTGAATCTTACAGACCCTTTGGATAAAGCAGTGAAAGTGCGTCTGCAAAGCCAGAGACGCGCAGAGACCCAGAGAGACACGCAGAGACCCCCTGAGTGCCCCCGCCCCTGGCGCTGGGGGGCTTTCACCTCCACAGGCCAGTGACCGCAGGCCAGGGGTCACCGGCAGGGGTCCGGCCAGCTCTTCAGAAGTGGTTACACCGCGCGTGACGTGAGCCCCAGCTCACAGCCATAGTCGGAAACCGTGACCAGAAAGCAAAAGTAACGGGCTGGTATCGTTTTGTGTCAGCCGCTTTCTGCTCCCGCCCATCGTCATCACGTACTTGGAGCCCGGTCTTGCTTGACCAGACACACCAGTGCAGGCCAGTGCTGATGGTCAGTATTTGCTCCCAAACTTGGACTGGATCTTCGGACGTCACTGTCTCCTCTGATCTGATCCACTGCCACGGGCCCTGCCGGGGACGAGTCTTCTTCAGACGGAAACGTCCTGTTGTCTGCTCTCAGGTCTTGGTGGGCAGGACCAGACTAACCTCAGCATGCTGGAGCTTCTGTTCCTCCTCAGCCTCCCTTTGCAGCGGAAGGGCTGCAGGGTGGGAAGCTGCTGGGTGTCAAAGGGGGGGCCCACGAAGCGGGGACGGGTGAGCGGGGCTGTCCAAAAGGCTGTGGTGCGGTGTCCCCAGACCGCCAGGCCCACTTGGCCCTCAGCTGTACCAGCCGGAGCGTCCACAGGTGGGAGGTGTTTCTCCCACTCTTAGCAGCGTCCGCCTGAGTCTCCTTGACCCTCAACTTGGTGACATTGAGCTTGTATCTTAACACCAACCCCAGAGCTTCGCACAGCAGAGGCACCGGGTTGCAGCCAGGTGCTGGGGAGAGAAGGCAGGGAGCCGGGAAGGCAGGGCCCCCCAGGTGCCTGAGCCCTCCGGGGCGGCCTCCTCTTGGGGCCCGCCTTGGCGAGTCGCTTCTCGTTCGCCCTTGTCTGTCACCTGGGAACGGGCGCGCCGTCGTGAAGACAACGCCTCATTTTATTTATCAGTCCCACCTCTTCACACACGCACAGCGTCTGCCCTGGCTTTCGCTGTGCTCCCGCGGGCTCCTGTGCCCGTCTCGGGGTCAGTTCCGTGGCCGTGGGCCGGGGGCACTGCCCGCGTGGCGCTGAGGCCCAGCCTCCGGTGACGGCTGGTTCCGCGTCCCTTCTCGGCTGCCTCCCGTGCGAGCGCCGGCGATAGGGCGTCTCTGGAAACGTGCTTATCGTCCTGTTGTTTTTTTTCTCCACAGTGTGTGCTGTATCTGTGGGCCTTGAAAATCCTTTACCCCAAAACACTGTTCTTACTTCGCGGGAATCACGAGTGCAGACATCTAACGGAGTATTTCACATTTAAACAAGAATGTGAGTATCCGCCGCGCTTCTCCTCTGCGGGGCCCCACAGTGCGTGTGTCCGGACCCTGCGGCCGGGTGCGCGGATGCGAAAGCAGAGCCTGTAACATCGCACATCACGTGCTACGGCGAGCGCATCTGCCAAGCCCCGAAAGCTAGCTTTCCGTTTTGAATTCTGAATTCTCTGTTTGAATTAATATTTGCTATAACAGCATGAGAAATAAGTATGTTTAAAAAATAAAGCGAGAACGCCAGTATTGGGGTGAACAGTGCTGCCCCTCAACCTCAGGCCCCTGGAGAAGAGCAGAGCTCTCTGTTCTGGGGGCAGAGCCAGCCTCGGGCCTTTCTCTTCAGACCCCATAGATTTGCTGCCTTTTGTGGATTTTGCAAAATGCCATTTCCCTGAAACGTGCACGCTAGGCGTGAGGAGTGCTTGGCAGACGCGTCCCTTCCTCCTCAGCCTGCCCGCTGCCAGCTGACACTCGGTTTCCCTCTCCTGAGCCGGTGTTCACTGGGCAAGGCAGCTTCTCCAAGCTTTCGCTGAGGGGAGAGCAGGAAGCAGCGAGATGGGCAGGTCCAGCACACTGCTGCCAGCTCTTCTCGAGGGCCAGATAGGGGCCAGCCGCTCCATGGGGTGGGTGCCCGGCCGCCTGCGAGCTGTCCTGCAGGTCAGTAGCAGGGGCGTCAGCAACAGTCTCGGCCACGCACCGAGCCAGTGTCATAAACGGTGCATGAGCAGATGTAGTGGCTGCTTGGAGGGCATTTGACGATCCTATTCATCACGCCTGGCCTCTGCGGCCTAGTTACCTGCTCCCGATAGGCTCTGCCTAGAAACAGCCCCGAAGCCGTCCCGAGCAGCGCCCGCGGCGCAGGCTGAGAGGGGACACCTGTGTGTGTGTCCACAGGTAAGATCAAGTACTCGGAGCGCGTGTACGACGCCTGCATGGACGCCTTCGACTGTCTGCCCCTGGCCGCCCTGATGAACCAGCAGTTCCTGTGCGTGCACGGCGGCCTGTCCCCCGAGATCAACACCCTGGACGACATCCGGAAAGTAAGTCCCGCTGCCCCCGGTGGGCACTGCCACCGCCGGCTCTGCCCCCCACGCCCCTCCTGAATGAAAATGAGCAGTGGGCGCCATCGCCGCTTTGCGCCCGGGCTCCGTGTGGGAAGGCAAAGCTTTGGGCTTGGACCCTTGTCGGCTCCAGAACCTCAGCTTGGTCTTTCCCAAGACAAGCCCCCAAGCGCGCGACTGCTGAGAGACACCCGTCTTCGCGTTTCTTGCTGGCGGTTCCCAGCGCCCGCTGGGGATTCAGGGCCTCCCGTGGATAGAAACGTTGCTTTGCTTTTGGAAAATATCACAAGTCGACCTTTAAAATGTATTCATATTACCGTCTTTTTGAAAAAATCATTTGTTACAGCTTAAAGCTTTCAAGTAACAATTTAGCATTTGCTTTTTTAAGAAGGATTTTTCTCCTCAATTTAACATTGACTATTGCTGCTGTTCTAGGCAGCAAAAAGATGAGCCCCGCTGAATGTGGAAGTGTCTTTTCATCAGCGAGTGTAATAATAGAGGACAGTTTCAGGTCGTGGGAGACACGGTCTTTTATTTCTGTGGCTGTGCTCTAACTGGATAATTGCAGCAACACAAAAGGATAAGACAAAGAATGATCAGAAATGTAATATTTTCCTTAGTGCGAAAATCCTCAGAGGGAGCAAGCAGTGTTGTTTACTTGCGTTATTTTAAAATAATATCCGTTGGAATCATCTCGAGGTTTGTGAGTCTGTTCACATCACGGTGGAGCACGTTACACGACTGGGAGATGCTGTTCCACCGAGCCTTCTACCCAGGAAGTCTAAATTCTTGTGATTCTGAGAGAATGACGAGGAGCTGCACACTGTTAGGGCAGACGCGCCCTCTTTGCTTCTAGAGACATCAGAAAAGATGTTGGCGCTTATCCCCAAGGAGGAAAGAGAGGTGGATAGAATCTGACCTTCGGTTCCCAGTCCAGGGAGAACGCACGGCTCACGCTGTTCTACACTGTGCTCGAGTTATAAGCATCTGGGTGTGCTGGGTTTTGTCCCGCAGCACAGGGCATCTAGCCTCTCTGTCCTGACGCCTGCTGCGTCGTAGAAGTTGGCATCAGAGAGGCCGCGCCCTGCCCCGTGGCCACATGCCCTTCACCACCCCCGTGTGCACATGCTCCAGGATCACCAACAATCCCGGGGCCTTTACTCAGAGGACCCCTGGGTGCCCCTTGGGTAAGCAGTTTTTCTGTTTCCCCAGAATTTCACAGCTTCATCGCTGAACCTGAAATCCATTTGATGGACATTTACAAATCCTGTCCATTCCCTTAAAACACTGAATTAGGAAACCATGTTTCCCCTCGTGCTCCATAGAGCAGGAAATCAAATATCTGATCTCGTCATGTGTCCCTTGTAATAAATCAGTGGCCCATGACCCTCCTGGCAGCAGGCGTGGGCGGCGGGGCGTCCTAGGACGGAGGGGGCTCTCTGGGAGGGGCCTGCAGAGCGGGTTCACTCTCAGGGGTGACTCAAGGCTTCGCCGGGTTTCACGGGCTTGGCTGGGAGGTGGGAAGCGCACCAGTCATGCTCGTAAGAACAGGGTCAGTGCAGAATCCATTCCACACAGCATTTTCGCTCTCCGCACAGAACGGATGTGCAGCGTTCTGTACTGCGCGAGGTGATGAGGAAGGAGAGGGCCCAGGCTGTCGTGCAGCCGCCATGTGAGTGCCTGTGGCCTCTCCCACGGGACCAGGAGCCACGTGTCTGCCTCTCACGCTGGTGTTTCCCGGACACGTGCCCGTGCTCGTGGCACTGCAGGGAAGGGACGCTTCATTTAGCCATGAGCCTCACTAGGCCTCTGGACCTCGACTCCTGGTTTTCTTGCACAAGTCCCCAGCTGTTGTTTTTTAAGTCTACACTCCGGGAAGTAAAACATTCAAGCCCCACGTTAGCACAGTAGTAGCATCAGGCCAAGCGTTCCGGGAGCAGCATCCTGCCTTCCTGTCAGAAGGGAAACGCAGGAGCTGTAGTTAACATCAAGTGAACACGGGCCCGACTCTGTGTGGCCCCTTCTCCGAGACCCTGCTGCGCACCTCCCTCTGCCCTGGCCTCGGAGCCTTGTCGCCGCTCTGCCTGCAGCGCCCTGTGGGGCAGGACACCGGCTTTCGCTGGGGCTCGGGTCCTGGGTCAGTCACGCCTGCCGGACTGTAGCCGATTAGGCCTGTGATCTGATGGGCTTGGACTAGCAACGAAACATCTTACGGTAAACTAAGTAGATCTTTCAGACGCTGCTCACTGCCCCGGGACATCCTCCCTGGCGCCCCGACGTGGTGGTCCGTGTCCGGCAGGCCTGCCGGCCCCACGTGCTCGGGAGTGCCTCCGCCATGCAGCGATTCGAAATGCACCGTGGTTACCTGAATTGTGCCATTGTTCATTCTTACCGTGGACGGTGTTAGCCTTTAGACGGCTGTTTATAATTTTTCCAGAAGAAATTCTGCATCCTGCTCGCCTTACAGTGTTCATCTGGGGATTTCCATTAATCAAAGAGTCCTCTCTCCTCCGCTGCTTCACCCTTAGTAATTAGTTCTTGTTTCTCTGTATTTTTATGGGGAGGCATTATTTTGCCGGGAGGAATTATTCCAAAGGCATCCATCATTTCTACCCCTTAAACAAGCCTGTGTCTGCGGCGAACATTGCGTGGACAGCGTGACAGCTGAGAGAGAGGCTCTTTCTTGCCGGAGTCTCCCGTTGGGTGTTGAAGGTGTGCAATGCCGCTTCATTCTTTTTAGACACTGATGGAAAAACCGGTGGTAGCGTAGCCCTGTGGGCTTCACCTGTCATGTCCCAAGGGGAATCGACAAGTTGGCCAGCCTTCTGGATTCACCTGCCTCTGTGGGGTTTTCCTCAAAGTGTTGGCTGTTCGGAGCACCCGTTCTGAATGGGTTTCCGTCGCTGCTTTGTGCTTGCTTTCAGGAGGCTCCGTACTGGCTGTTAACTTTCCCGAAGAGCCTGTAATTGTAGTTTAATTGTAGTTCATTCAGAATAAACTAAAAGAAAATGACGGCATCATAACCTCGTTGGTGAAAGGCCCCTCTCAATGGGCTCCTGTCGTCTCAGGGCACCCGTGGGCATGGAGCCGTGGGCTGGTGACCGAGCGCGGCTGGGGCGCGGGTCTCGTGAGTGTGCTCCCTGCTCGCTTCCTCGGGTTGCCCCCCAGACGCTCTGCAGCGGGCGCCCCCTCTCACCAGAAGCCCTGGCTGTCCCGTGAGTGACGACCCAGAATGTCATGGAGCAGCTGCTGCTCTTAAAATACAAGCCGCCTGCTCTCCCCATCGTGGTTCTTACGTAACCCTTGTCAGAAGTTTCCCCTCCGACCCCCACGCCACAGGCGGCCGTGGGTCTCTCCCCGAGGTAAAGTGAGCGCTGCTGTTCCAGACGTGGGGCTGGGCAGGGAGGGTCACGGCACTGGTGACGACTGAAACACTTGGGGGGGCAGGTGCGAGAGAGCGGAGGCGGGGCGGCGCTGGGGAGAGCGGGACGATGGGCCCTGGAGGGAGTGACCGGAGGTCCTGGTGACTCAGCTGCAGGACACTGGGAGGGCAGGGGGGAGGGGCGGGGAGGCAGGAGGGGCGGGCAGATCCGAAGCGGGGAGGCAGGAGGGGGCGGCGAGGCCCCACACTCACTCCGTGGGGCGCGCGGGAGCCTGCTGCAGGTTCTGGCTGTTTCCTTCCAAAGTCCCAGTGGCGCGAGGTTAGGGCTCGCTCTGTCTTCTGTCTCCCCAGTTAGACCGGTTCAAGGAGCCGCCCGCCTACGGGCCCATGTGCGACATCCTGTGGTCCGACCCCCTGGAGGACTTCGGCAACGAGAAGACTCAGGAGCACTTCACGCACAACACGGTCCGGGGCTGTTCCTACTTCTACAGGTGAGGGCGGCGTCCCGTGGGACCCCGCGGCCAGGCGCCCACCGTGGGCTCCCAGCCCGTCCGTCCAGTCTGCAATCCCAACCACCCCAGGCTGCCCGTGTGACGTCGCCTGTGCACAGCCCCTGACCCTGGCTTCGAGTTTAGGACGGCCTGCTCTGCATGCCGGAGTCAGGACAGGTGCAGACAGCTGGGCTTACCTGCTGTCGGGTGTCTTCCTGGGGTGTGGACACGGGGTGTTCACGTCAGGCTCCGCTGGGTAATCAGGGATCGTGCATCTTTGCACTTCTGTTCCCAACAAAAATATCGATAATGACTTCATTGCTCTCATTGAGATTCTTAATCAACAGTGATCTTCAGTCACGACAGACCGAGCACCTGGACCCACAGCCGTAGCCTCTGTCCAATGAGGGCGGCCTGGGTCACGGTTTGTCCAGGATGCGAAGGTGACCCCACCTTCTAGGGCTGTCCCGATTCTCTTGTCTTCCCTCAGTCTGTCTTGACGTGTGTGGCGGCGCCCTCTGCGCGCCGTCTTGGAGCTGCCGGAGGCACACCAGGGGCAGCAGCGCAGGTGGACAGGCTGGTACGGTCGCCTTTTGAGTTACGGGCAGCAGTTTTGGCCCGTGAGACCGCGTTGGGTTTGACATGTTTGCATCAAGTTTGCGTGTCTCAGCGCCACGCCGCCCAGTCCGTGAGCTAATGCACTGTCTGGGCCATGATTGACATAAAACAGTCAGAAAATGGGCCGGGACAAACATGGCGGCCAGCTGTGGAGGACGGGCCGTGCGACGAGGGGCCGGGTGGCCCCCGCCTGACCCCAGGGCTGCAGTCAGTGCTGTGTCCCAGCCGGAGCTCCGCTCCCGGAGACCCGAGCCGGGCCAGTGTCGGAGTGTGAGGATTGGTGGGGAGCAGAGCACACCGAAGCCGCGTCCCGTTGCCATGGCGCCCGCGGCTGCGCCCAGAGCCCGTGTCCTCGGATGAGTCAGGCGCTTCTGTGCCGGGATCGCCGGCTTCAAAGGCGACGCCTCGCACGGTTCTGAGCGGCGAGGTTTGCAGAACGTCTCACAGTCGTTTTCAAAGTGTGTTTGAGGCTGCAGATTGCAGCTCGCTCAGATCACCCCGGCCTCCTGCTCACGGGCCTCCAGTCTCTGTTCTCCTCACGCCTGCTCAGCAGCTCCTGCCGCAGCTGCGTTCACACACCCTCCCCCGCCTCCCCCCCACACCCGCCACCCCTCTCCTCGCGGCAGGGCCTGCCTCTTGGACATTTGTTTCTTACCCCTCCCCGGACCGCCGTGTACCGCCTTAGCGTCCCCGTGAGCTCGCTGCGGCCTCCGGCCCGGCCTGTGCCTGCCCCTGTCACCCCTCCCCTTCCAGGCTGAGTCCTCTTTGTCCCCTGCGGCGTCTGGATCCATACGACCTACTCCCCCTGAGGCTCCTCTCGCCTGCACAGGCTGCCCCCTGCCCCGTGCCCCACCGCAGCTCCCCCGTTCTGCTCACAGCGCGTCCTCTGACATGCAGACAGCAGCTGTCTCTGCGTGTTCTCCTTGCCCTGACGTCGCCGTCGATCGTCCGTTGTGTCTGACTGGCCCTTTGTCGGCGAGTTACCAGCACCGGGGCCCTGCTGTCCCCTGCCCTGGGCTCCCCACCTTCCCCCCGAGGCCGCTGGACTCGTCCAACTTCCCGCCTCCATTCTTCTGTGCTGTCCTGGGCACCCTCACACCCGCCCGCCCGCGCTGGGGCTGCTGCGTCACCTGGATGGGCCGGGGCTCTCGTGGGGAGTGCTGACAGGAGAGCCGGCCCCCTCCAAGCAGAGCTCTGGGGAGGCTCACGGTGGCAAGGCTGCTCCTCGCGGAGGTGTGAGCGCAGGAAGCAACACCCTGGGGTGCTGGAGAGATGGCGCCGTGTGGCGGGCCTCAGAAGCAGAGCCGAGCTCGCCAGGCGGGCAGGACTCCTGCTGAGGGCTGGACGCCGCCGTGAGCCCTGCTGCACCCACTGGGCCTGGGCAGCAGAGGCGGGAGCTGACCATGGTCCTCTCCATGCACACGTTCCGGGGGCGGAGGCTGAGATGGAGCATGCCGCGCGGGGCGGGGGCGGGGGCGGCTGCCTGAGGCCGAGGGCGGGCACGGCCCTCTCCTTGGCAAGCCTGTGGAGAGGCAGGGAAGCATAGAAAGTGTTTTAATAACGCCCAGGGCCCTGTCACACGACAGCCTGAAATCTGTGAGATTTGATTCAGCCTCTAATAGGCAGTTCAGTGCAGCAAGAAACAAAACTGGGATGGACAGGAGCCAGCAGTAGCCAGTTGCTGGGCTTTCAACCGCTGTGCTGACTGTTCTGCTCCCTGACCTTTATTCGTCTTCAGCCTGAGCCCCTCCCGGGTGCCTCCCGGCCCCTCTCCTTTCCACTAATTCCTTTAAAATTGCAACCAAGGCGGTGGCAGGACCAGACCGGGCCCAGGCTCGCGCGCGCCCTCCCACAGTGACGGGCGTCGGGAGCGGCCCTCTCTGGGCTGGCGCACCGTCCCATCTCCGGCCTGGGACGCACCTAGTGTTGTCTGCGTTTGTACAAACGGGGCGACGGACGCTCACCGTGTCTGATCGATTTTCCCGTTTACACAGGAAATGGGCCTCAGAGCCAGGCCTCAGGGTCCCCAAGATCCCACGGAAATCCCCACGTCCTCCCTACTCAGCGAGATGCCGTCTCTCCTGCCTGAGGAGCAGTCCTGTCCCAGTGGGGGGACGTAGTGTCAGCCCACATGCCAGCTCCTCAGCGAGCGCCCGGAACCCGAGCACCCTCGCCCCGGCTCTCGCCAGCTCCGGGGCCGGCCTGGACTTGTCCGGGCGCCCCTGATGGATGCGAGGAGACAGGAAAGACTTAACACGAGTGGGTGTTTTCCAGGAAGATTTCCTCTCCCACGTCCTGTCCAGCTTTCTGTCCCTGCGATTTGCTGCCCGCAGGTCACACGCACCCCCAGGTGGTGACCGCAGAGGCCAGCGCGCCCAAGGGGCAGAGCGCTCTCTGCCCGGCCTCTCGGGGCCGTGGAATCTGCTTTCCTGCCTTCCTACGAACCTTGCTGTTGAATCTTCCTGCTTGAGCACTTTGCGGTTTGTTGAAGTTAAACCACAGAAACCATTAAAAGGCACAGAAATGGAGCTGTTATTTCCTCACTGTTATTAAAGATTTGCCCCAGGCAGCCGCTCGCCAGTCATAGGAATCCAAGTGGTATTCGCCTGTTTTCCAAACTTATTTAGAAATCTTAATGTTTAGATAATAGAGATGAAAAATTTCGGAAATTAGGAACATTAGCATTAACGTAGATGCGCCTGCCCGTTCAAGATCAGACATGTATTTCATGGGGAAATTTACTTTAGGCACCAGCGGGCATCAGACCCAGCGTGGAGAAAGTACCCTGGTGCTGTGCTGTCCTAAGACGCTGTGAGCCGTTCCTGAAGAAAAAGGAAACTGAAAAGCGCAGCCAGGTCATTTCCAAAAAAAAAGTGACTCGCGTGGGCAGACGGCCTCTGCTCGCCGAGTGTCCGCATGAGGCCGTGGCCAGGACAGGGATGCGCCCGAGCGGGGACAGAGCTCGGTGCCACCGTGAGGGTGCCCAGCAGCGGCTCACCCCCCAAGCAGGCCCTGCTCCTCGGAGGCCGGCGTCTGCACGGCCAGGGGACTTTGGTCCACACACGATCTGGAGAGGCTTCCACGCAGCTGCTCCTCAAGTAGAGCAGGGTCCCAGAGCCGGTCCACCTGGGTGGTGTCCACTCCCCAGGTGGACACTCCTGTCATCAGGCACGTGTCTGTTCACCAGACGTTGGGACGGGGGCTTTCCCTCGCCCCTAGAATGTTCCGGAACACACACGTGCACATGTGGAGACATAGGGTCTGCATTTGCTCCCTGGCCCCCGTCTGTGAAGGCGGCTGTGCCAGTGGGTGCGTCTGCTGCTGCGGACTCTGCCTTGGGCCCAGAGGCTTTGGGAGGGCGGGGGGCCGTGCTGGTCTGGCTGTGAGGAGGATGCGCTGGCTCCGTGGTTCCGTAACACACGCTTCTCTCTCTGTCCCCGCAGTTACCCGGCCGTGTGTGAGTTCCTACAGCACAATAACCTGTTGTCTATACTCCGAGCCCACGAAGCGCAGGACGCGGGGTAAGCACTGGGGCTGGGAGCGCCAGCCAGGCTCTCACCCCCCACCCCCTCGGTCGGGCTGTGAGGCTGAAGGACACAAACAGGCGTGTCAGTGATGACGAAATCCTGTTCCAAGTGACGAATGTGTAACGTGACTTTGCAATGAGGGCTGGTTTTCTGTGGCACTAACTCCACATCAAGCCTGCATTAGGAAGGAACAGGCCTAAAACTATAGCATTTCAAGCCCGAGACACTGTCCTTTCAGTAGGTGTCACCGGAAGCCCTTGTTTGCCTTCAGATGCGTCAACTCGTCCCACCGTGTTCTGCATTTCCCGAGAGGGAGGGCCGCGTGCTGTGACGGGCCTCAGGCTGGCCATGGGGGCCGCGTCAGCCCGTGAGCCCCTGTGTGTGCTCCTGAGCCCAGCAGAGCTGGGCTTCGTCCAAACGGAGCTTTCCCAAGCATGGCCCTCAGGTCCGAGCTGACCCCGCAGCCTGTGCCGCGCTGCTGGTGCTCAGGTGCCCCTCCTTGCTGCGGGCAGCACGGGCCTTCAGCTGCCTGCCTGACCGCACATTTCAGGTGGCTGCATCTTAGTTCCACAGCAGGCCTGAAGTCATCTGCTTACTTATTTGAAAATAGGTTACGTGCGTCGGTTAAAATCAGCAGTCAGTTTTATTTAAAAGGAGCAGTGGATTGAGTGGATGCAGAAAGACCCCGAGACCGTGTCATCCCGTCTCTTTGTTTTCATTCGCTGTCAGGGGAACGCGAGCCGGGTCTCACAGTCACGTGGCAGGGTTGAGAGTTCCTCCTTCACACGCTGAATTTCCCCCCAGCAACGCGCAGTCCCAGAAGTGGCATAAATACTTTAGGACATTGTAAGAGATTTTTTTTAAAAGGTGGTGTTTTCTGCTGGGAAGAGCAGTATCAAGTATTTGTAAAATTACGAATTTTCAGGTGGCTATATATTTATCTAAAGATGTTGCTCATGCCCATTAGAACCCAGCTGCATAAGGCATGCTTAGTTTGCCAGAAATAACTGACACAAATTGCCCGGGGAATGATAGACTGTTGTTCTGCACCTTGTGGTAATGCTTCTAAGTCATCTTCCTGAAATCTATCAAACCGAAGTCATGAAATTTATTTTCACCTTGCTGGAAAGAGCCCAGGTTTTGTGTATTTTTTTTATTTCTTGAGGACCAAGTCCTGTTTTTGTCTCGGTGGGAGAAAAGTTCCTAGGTTTTTGGTTGGTTTCCAAAGTTCTTGCGGATAAGCTCATTCCTGACTGACTAGATACTCTCCTGCCGAGACAGTAATCTGTGACCTGCAGACACCAGCCTCGATTGGCAATAAATAAAGCCCTAAAATAGAAACACTGTCAACTTGTAAAATCAATCACTTATTAACCGGGTAGTCTTGAACACCAAAGGAGTAAGTCTAGGAAGTGCGTATGGGCAGCCATGAGAGAAGCTGCAGGTCAGTAGGGTCGCCAGCCGGGCTAGTCGTGGGCGGGCTGGGCACATGGCTCGGGTTACTCAGTCTGGCAAATGCCAGCAACTCCCGAGACTCGGCAGGACCAGAACACCTGTGTGTGCAGGTGCCTGCGCCCTCTGTGCCAGGCGCGCAGACACGGGGAAGGGTTCACCATCCTCCCGGCCCACGGGGCTTGGAGTGGTCCGGACACTGTGAGAGTGTGTGTCCTCTGTCACCCTGGCTGCACGGACGGGAGCGTGCACAGACCGGAGAGGAGCTCGCTGAACGCGACGTGGTTGGGCCCCGTCCTCCCCACGGGCCCGGCTCACCTTCTGCTTGTTGCTGCAGGTACCGCATGTACAGGAAGAGCCAGACCACGGGCTTCCCGTCGCTCATCACCATTTTCTCAGCGCCGAACTACTTAGACGTGTACAATAACAAAGGTGAGTGCGCCGCCCGGGACAGCTGCGGGGAGTCGGGAGCCGTTGCGATTCGGTTTGCTTTGAGGGGAGCGTTGGCCACCGTCGCCCCCTTTGCTTTCCCTCCTGCTCCGCGATGCGGATTCTGAGATTGTCTTGCAAGTGGCAGATCAGCCCACAGGAGGGGCCCAGCCCCGTCCCTGGTACCTGTTCTCGGGAGAGTCGAAGCGTACAGGGCGACAGCTAGTGCCGTGACGGGCCCAGGCTTTCTAAAGAAATTATAGTGGAAAGTAACCCAAAATCACACTCCCTGAATCATGCTCCTTACAAAGGACGTGGATTTAAATAAAAATGCTGTCACTGTGCAGATAAAGGATAGAGAAAAACACCAGAGAAGCCGTAGCTTGAATTCTAATGCAGACCGCGTCTGCCGAGCCCCGCGCGGGCGCCATCACTGCTTTTCTTTTATTTTTGCATACAAGAGCTGGGGTGCAGGCCATAGTTGGAGGGGGGTGAGAGGACTCACCAGAGACAGAGTGGGGAGCAGAACAGGCGGATCTACTGAAATCCACTGCCGAGAGGAGCAGCGGGCGAGACAGGAGGGTCTGCTGCGCCATGTGGGTTGCTCCCTGACCGGGGATGGACTCAGGCCGCAGCAGTGGCAGTGCTGAGCCTACCCCCAGGCCGCCAGGCAGCCTCTCGCCCCGAGCAAGCACTGGCTGCCTTCTTCACACGGGGCCGCGTCTCTGTGGTCAGCGCCTCTCCTGGGGAGCGACCGTGGGGTGGTGAGGGACTGGGCCCGGTCCCACCCACCGGAGCCCCCCCCGGGGTGCCAGGGACGAGGGGCCGCAGACTGACTCGGGGAGGGGAGGGCACGTGAGGGCCTCTCGGGGGGCCCGGGCCTTGACTCAGGCTGTGTGAGCAGGTGCAGGTGGCGGCTGGTGACAGGATGAGGCAGCCCGTGGCTGGGGGTGCTGTGCTGAGGGCCGCTTGCCCGGCTGTGGCTGTTTGAGAGTAAAGGAGTCAGGCAGAGAATGAAGCGGCGTGATGGGCGCCCCCGGTCAGCTGGGTCGGGAGGCCTGGGCGGCCTTGGCCCTTGGCCAGTCGGTGACCCACCCTGGGGTGGGAGTTACTGTCTTGGGGTAACAAACGTCAGACGGGGATGTGAGGCGGCAGATGCAGGCCGAAGCGCCCAGATGGGCCGTCAGCGCGAGGAGGACGCGCGAGACCCCCCGAGCAGGCCCTTTGGCTTTGGAAGACAGGACCCGGGGGCTCCGAGGCTGGAACCTGCGTCTCCCTGGGACTGTTGGAACCTGCGTCTCCCTGGGACTGTTGTTGAGACTCGCGCGGCCGCGGTGACCGCGGCAGAATGGAAGAACGAGGAGACGGGCTTGCGCTGGCTTTCCGCAGCCAGGAGCGGCTGTGCCATCGTCAGCTCCCTGCTGGGATGTGTCTGGTTTTGCGCCCGTGCTCCTGGCCTGTCCCTCAGCTCTCCAGGCTGCCTGGGGACCGCCCCAGGCCGTGGGGTCCCGCTCACCCCCGCCCCGCCCTGCCTGTGGCTTTAAGGACCTTGCAGAGCTCGTGGGTGAGACGCGCCGCAGCACAGCTCTGCCTGCGACAGCCGCGCCTGCTGACGTGCGGGCGCGTGGTGACATCTCCGTGGAGCGAGGGACGTGTCTCCTGTGAATAATGGATGACACGCCTCGGAAGCCGCTCGGTGCGTTATTAAGCTGTTCTCATCGGGATGGCGTGGCGCGGGCTCATTCCGGGCAGGAGAACAGCCCCCCCCACTGCCCAGCCGGGGTCTCCCGTCCCTTTCGGACCTGCCTCTGCTGCCCTGGGCGCGCCCTTGCCTGCCGCTGGCCCTGCTGCCCACGGCCCCCCTCCGGCCTCTGTGCACACCTGAGCAGCGAGTGTGCCCGGGCCTGCCCTCACGTGTTCCTGTGGACGCTCCAGGCCTCCGCGTGGCCGAGGCCCAACCTGGCCAGCCCCGATGCCCACCACCCTCCAGCAGCGTTCTGCCCCCCGCCCACCAGGGTCAGCGTCGGCCGCCGGCGCGTGGGCAGGGCGCCGTGCCCCAGAGGCGAGCAACACTGCGCGTGTCGCGCTTTCTTCCCAGGGGTTAGCGGCAGGCCAGCACCCAGCACCCCTCGACACTAGGCAGGACACTGGCTCAGGTGTCCGCTGCCGCTGGCCCTTGCCTTGGCCCGGTGGCCCGGTGTCCTGCCGCGCACGCAGCCCTGGGAGGAGCGCTCACAGCTGCCCGGCTGCTGCTGCAGGAGGGAGGCGCGTGGCACGTAGCTGCTTTTTTTTATTTTTTTAATAATTTCCCACCTGTAAGCGTGTCTCAGCCTCGTTATCAGCAGCGCAGCCCTTACCCGTGCCCAGTGCCCGGGATAGGAGAGCCCCAGCCCTGCCCCATGTGGGGCATAGTCTGGTCTCGGCACAGGTGACTGTTTTCCTGTGTTAGGAAAATGCCACCAAGCAGCGGGATAAAGGGGGTAGAGGGAGCTGAGGGGACAGGGCTTAGCTGGGGCGACGTCGGCACAGACTGACCCAGCGTCGGACCGCAAGGGGCGGGCCTGGGCTCTGCCTCAGCAGCCTGGCGGCCAGCAACTGGGCCTGTGGGCAAAATGGGGTCAGCGGCTCCATCCCTTGTCCCCACGCTGCTGCACCTGTGCTTCACATAAATCCAGGCAGATTCGAGGTGCCCATGGTCCCGGGAGTCCCCGTGGGCGCGAGAGGGTGGTGGGCGAGGCTGTGATGCAGACGGGGGAGCCCACGTGCCGGGGCACGGCTGGGCTTCGGGACAGCGCGGACTGGAGCGCCCAGTCACTCCCGAGGTGTGCCACGTGGAATTCTGGGTTGAAAGGAGAATTTGAATGACAAGCAAAGTTCTTCAGCAATTAGGACTAGAGATTAGATGGCAGCCAGGAAGCAAATCCACTCACTCCCACAGAAGGTTCTGGGAGGGGGAAGTGGAAGTTTGGGTCTCGAGGAGACAAGAAGACGTCATCGGTTGTCATCCTGAGAAGCGAGGCCCTGCCCGTCACTGGGGAGACATGTCTGCGATACTCTGGACTTTTAAACCGGGCAACTCGATCGAATTTCTTTTGCAAAGCATTTTAGTTTTCACAAAACTTGACGTTTTCAACACCCTCGGATATTTCCAGATCACGACGTGATCTCGGGGTCAGGCGACGCCCACTGCAAGTAGGAGGGGGCTGCCGCCATGGGGAGGTGGGGGCCCCGCGGGGACGCAGGTGAGCTGTCACCTGCGGGTGGGTCAGCGCTGAGGCAGGGCTGGCCGGCCCCGGGGGGCACCCCAGTGACGCCCTGGGGACGGGGAGGCAGCCCAGCTGGCGCTCTCACTCTGTCCAGACCCCTGTTGTCCCTCCCGGGCGTGCGTCAGGCCCCAGGAGAGGAGGAGCCTGGCGCCTGCGGGGCGGGGGCCAGGCCGCAGGGGAGACCACAGGGAGGGAGCGGGTGCAGCTCCCTCAGGGCAGCCCCTGAGCCCTGCAGAGCTGCCTGCGCTTGGCCAGAGCCACTCCCGGCCGGTCTCAGGTGAGCGGGGCCTTTAGCCTGGACATGGACATTTGTGAAGCGTCTTGGGGCCTCCCAAGCCGGGCGCCGGTTGGTCACAAGGCGGCTGTGATGAGCCCAGCCGCTTCCCGGGCAGCCCCTGGCTTTACTTACCGTCACCGCAGCCACAGGGGCCGCTCGCAGCATGTGCCAGACCACGGGGACGCGCGGCCACTGGGCCATCCACTGCGACGCTGGACTGTGGGCCAGGCGTGTCTCCTGTCACTAAAACCAGACAATAAGATACCCCCAGCCACACCCCCCGCTACCACCACCATAAAGACGCCCAGCTCCTGCTGGACGTCACAGGCCGTTCATGGTTCAGCCTTAAGCGTTGGTAGATTTACATGTTGGGGGACACAGTGTGCCTTTCCGAAAAATCCAGAAACAAATTATAGTCACATATGCGAGGACATTGTTGAATCATGTCAAACTCCTCCTGTTAGTGTCATCAGATACTCAAGAGGCCAAGATGTTCTCCGCCTCTCGGCCACCGGGGAGCCTGGGCCGCTGCCTGGCAGGCGTTTGGGGAACTTGGCGTCTCAGTGTTTGCCGGGCCGGAGGCCGCCGGGGTCCGCTGTGCACACTCCGAGCTGCCCCCCGAGGGAGGCTCGCCCCACACACACGCAGACCGGGTCGACGGGGGGGTGGGGTACCTGCCCCATAAGCGGCCCCCCATCTCACTCCCTCTCTCTGCCCCCAGCCGCGGTGCTGAAGTACGAGAACAACGTCATGAACATCAGGCAGTTCAACTGCTCCCCTCACCCGTACTGGCTCCCCAACTTCATGGACGTCTTCACCTGGTCGCTGCCGTTTGTCGGGGAGAAAGGTGCGTTGTGGGTTGCAGGGGGGCCTTGGGCGACCAACTGCATGTCACGAGGCCTTCGTCACGACGGAGCCCGCCCCCACCACTCACGCCCCCTCGGCCTGCGCTCAGTCAGTCCGCTCTCCTTCCTTGGGTGACGCGGCTCACACACTGTGTGTCCCTGCGAGGCCTGAGGTGAGGCAGGGCCATGGCGGGCGGCGGACGGAGCCTGCCCAGCGGGTAGGGCCTGAGGGCGGATCCAGAGAGCACAGGCGGGGAATTGGGGAGGACAGGAGCGAGGCTGTGGGGGGTGCAGTCTCATCAGAACAGCCCAGCTGTCACGAATCTCAGTGCAGGGGTCACCCACATCCCGCCGGGGCACGCTGGTCAGCGCCCCTGTGCTGAGGCTTAATGTGCCATCACGTGGTGCGAACTGCCCGTCAGCTGAGCTGCAGCGCAGCCTGCTTTGCTGCTCTTCTCAGTGGCGATGGGCGCAGGGACTCTTTCGAAAGAAAACACACACGACGACAAAGCACTGTTCACTAACAATCTGGCGGTGCTCACGCCGCACTGGCCCCAGCACAGCCTGCAGACCCTGACCCCAGAAAGCCGCTCTAGACGGACAGTGACCGAGCTGCCCTCCCTGCTGGAGCCCGGCTGACCGTTCAAGTGTCCAGCGTGAGTGGCGCCACCTCAGTGTGGACACGGCGTGCAGGTGACTTCCTGTGGGCATGTGGAGATGCCCGCCGTGGTCATTTCACTCAGCTAAATGTCACTAAACTTATCAAAGCTTTGTTTTTAAAGCCCCCTTGAAATTAAAATTGAGTGGTGGTTGTCTATGTCCGTGTTCTCAGAATGACGTCAAATAAATCCTCTCATCAGTGAGCAAGTGTTACTACACACGCGGCCCCGCGCCTGCCCCTGTGCCCGCCCACAGCCAGGCCCTCGGGTCTGGAGGCTCTGTGGATGATGTGTGAGGCCCACAGCCCCCCGCGGGTTTAGCCTGTCCTGTCTGCTTCAGGCACCGGGAGGACCTGCCGGGGCCCAGCCACGGCGGCCCCTGAGCAGGGCAGGAGGAGGGGACCGGCACGTGCCGGTGGCGCCAAGTGTGACCGAAGTCAGGGTGATGTCGGCCTCTTCTTGTTCCCCTGCAGTGACCGAGATGCTGGTCAACGTCCTCAACATCTGCTCGGACGACGAGCTGGGCTCGGAGGAGGATGGGTTTGACGGTAAGAGCTGGCGGGGTGGCGTCTGCTAGGCGCCCCGGGCCTCACCGCCCTTAGGGGCGTGCCTGAGACCGGGGCTGCGTTTTAACCCCAGCGTGTTACTGGGAATGTTCGTTATGATGCTTTTTATTCCCTCTGGAGGAATGTAAGCAACCGGAACAACCGGAGAACTATTCCCTTACCCTGAAAACACACGTCGTGTACACACGCGCACGTGCACACGCACGCGCACACACAGACATATACACACACGTCCTGTCAGGGACTATGACATGCGGTGAGTTTGACCGGCAGAAAAGAACTGTGGGTGTGAACTGAAATCCAGAGATTTCCGGGAAAGGAAAGGAATAAGCCAAGGACAATGCCAGGCCGCGCCTGGAGGTGCCCGCTCACTCGGTGTCCAGCGCGCGACCGTGTCCCAGCGGGGCGACTGCAGAGACGACGGCCAGCGTGTTTGGCTGTCTCTACATCCCCCTTCAGTCTGTTTACTCCCCGAGACGCGTGCACTTAGCATTCTAGTATTTAAATGAGTCGGTATGGACCTAAAATTAAGTCCTCGGCTGAGAGCCTGCCCTTATCACTTAGTGTGTTGGCATGATTAGGCCCTTAATAACACCTTTATGACACCTGCTGCACCCCCTCTAGATCCAGAACAGTCCTTGAATGAGAAACACTGGTTTCCCTGTACAGTAGAAATGCACATTCCTCACTTGACATGCATCGTGTCTTTCTATTTTGCTTTTCTTTGCTCTCTCCAATTTATAAAATTGCTGAGTTTCTCTGTCACGGTGAGGACAGAGGATTTCACTTGTGACTGCTGTTTCCTTTGGTCAGTACAACAGACCGAAATGACTTGTGTCAGGCACAGGCTGCATGTGTGAAAGTTTCTCGAAAAATCAATGGAAGCTTCAAGAGTCAATGTAAAGGCTCCAATTTCCACACACGCCGGGATTGTGCTTGTGGGCGGCGGCAGCACCTCTGCCGCGGAGCCATGGAGCGGACGTTCAGAACCCGCAGGACAAGCCAGAGCTCGTGCGTGGATGCGGCGCTCTACGGGGACAGCCGCGGTGGCCGCCGTGCGCCTGGGGTCACCTGTGCACGCTAAGTCTCGCCCAGAGGAGTCCGTCATTTTTTTGACAAAAGAAGTGGAAAAAGAGTCTGCGCAGAACAGTGTTCCTTGAGACCCGCTCCACGGGCGGCACCTTTTACTTGAAATAGGCATTTTAAAGGGAATCCCGTCGCTGGACGCTCTGTGCCGAGCGCACGGCTGAGCGAGAGACACAGAGGGAACTCCGGGCCCGGGCCCGCGGTGGTGGGGGCAGCCGTCTGTCCGGCCTGGTGGCTGGGGGCGAGCCCGCAGGCATTTCATGCGCTCGACGTGATCTTCAGAGAGGCCGGTGCTCACAGGCTGGTCACAGCCAGCGGCACGCCCGGGCCAGCTGGAGCACCGGCCCACGCGGCAGTCAGACCCCAGGCTGGGGTGGGTGGGGCTGAGCTTTCAGGTGGCAGCCACCCCAACGCCTGTGCCAGGCTGCCCTGCACGGTCAGGGAAACTGGCGGGAACCCTGCTGCTCAGCGTCCACTCCTTCCTGAAGGGGACCCGCCGCGAGCTCACTGAGCTGCAGGCTGCAGGCGCGGCCTCTGCCTCTTCCTCCTCGTGCCCCCTCCGTTCTGGCCAGTGCTGTGCAGGGGCTGACCCCAGAGATGTCAGGGACTCGGTGTCCTGCAGCACGACGGCGGTGTGCTCACAGCTGCTTCTCCGTCCGCACAGAGCTCTGCAAGCTGGTTCCGCCAGGGTTCTGGAAGCATGCGGAGTCGTGTTCCTTGTATTTCCAAGCTTTGATTTGGGGTGGAGGCCATTTTTGTCTTCAACGTAACTCCACCAGAGATGGCCCTCACCGCAATCCACATGCCGCTGCCCCCAACAGCCTTTGTTCAAAGTCAGCGATCGCCCTGTGGGATGAGAAACGCGCTCCGGAGGCGTGTGTGACCACGCGGCCGCGGACTAGCGACGCTGTCCGGCTGTGCAGGGAGGCCCAGGGACTCTCAGGGAAGCAGTGGCCTGGGTGGGGATTGTGCTCTGTGCACACCCGCCAGTACGGTCAACACAGGGCCTCACCCGCCTGGTGCTGGGCCTGAGCCCAGGCTGCCGGGGCTCCCCGGGAGGGCGGGGGGTGCGTGCCGGGACTGGGGGCGCGGAGGGAGGGGCCGGAGGACACGTGTTCCGGGCCGCTCCTGAGAGTCCCGTCACCGGCCCACCAAGAGTGTGTGGAGCTGCCGGGACCTGGGAGTAACCCCGTGCCCCAGCCTCCGCCTTTCACCCTGGGGTCAGCCTCCCCCACCCCGACACCACACGGGTGCGGCCTCACGGAACCATATGGCGTCAGAACGTGCAGTTTGAATGGGGGTGAAAAGAAGTGATTGTCGTTTGAACGAAAACACGAAACTGAAGCTTTGCTTAAAAGGACTACTTCTGAACACATGGAATGTTGCTTTTGAATTTGAGACTTTGCAGTTAAGTGATTATTTTTTCAAAGAAAAATAGTTACCACGTTGACTTCACGCGATGGGCTGTGTGTCCACAGCGCCCGTGGCGCGCACGCCAGGACGGCGGTTGACTTGGTGTTTGCAGGACGCGGTGCGTGAAACCCGAAGAACACATTTCCCTTGGTCCTGTCGGGTCACGGACTGCGAGGGCTCGTAGTGGAAACAAATATTCAAAAAAGAGCTTCGGTGACCTCGGGAAACCCCAAAACCAGGCATCGCACGCTCAGACACGGGGCCCGTCCTGTCAGAGTTGCGCCCGCCCTGCTGCTGTCCCTGGGCTTCCGTTTGCTGCACTTTCACTCGGGTCTCTCGTGTGCGCGCTGTGAGGTGTTGTGAGGTCACGTGTGTGCTGTCAGCCTGGTGTGGTGTTGACGGGGACCCCTTGGATGCAAGCAAGAGGCCAGTTTTCAAAGCCTCATCTTCCTGTCTGTGAGGACTCGAGTAGACTCACGTCACCTGGTGTGTGGGGACATCGTGACGAGCCGGGCGTCCTCATTAAGCAGGAGCTGCCACCTGCACGGTGGCCGTGGGCTGGACACACGCACACACACCCACACGCGTCTGCTCGCTGCCCTCCTTTGCATGGTGTCCCCCCCCCCACCGTGGTGTCCACACATCCTCCGGGGCCAGTGGGGAGTCTCCTCCTTACGTGTTTTCACTGGCTTCCTGTTGAGTCCCGTCTCACTTCTCCTGTCACGCTTCTCGTGACGTTTAGCGGCTCCTTCTCACTGCCTGACTTGTGTTTCCACATGGGCTGACCCGCGGCCGCCCCCTGCAGCCTGGCGGGACCCTGCTCTGCGCATCCTGACCTGACGGCGGGCGGGCGGGCCCTCGGCAGCGAGTGGCGGGAGCATGCTTCTCGAAAGCCTCGCTGCAGGGAATGGTTGAAAACTCCGTGGTCGGCCCCTTAGAGGAGATGCTGCCACCCGCCCTGTCTCTTGACAGAAGTTCTTCATTCCCCTGTTCAGCGAAAGTCATTGACAAGCCAGACAGAAATGTCAGACCTGGAAGTTGTCTCCAGGACAGGCTCCCCTGTGACCAGGCGCTTCGTCACAGGTCTTGGTTAACACAGCTGGGAGGGAGGTGTGAGGCGGGGCCTGCACGCCCACCCCCTCGTCACGGCAGGCCTGGCTCCCCGATGGTCTGCCACCGGCTGCAGGGATCCCCCCGCCCCGCCCCGCTCGCTCGGCCCTCCCCTCCTGGGCCAGGTGAGGGCTTCGGGTGGAGAGCGGGGGCTGCACGCTCAGGGGCAGCTCTGGCGGGGAGCAGGGACCCGAGCCCCCTGGACAGGCCAGCGACCGAGAAATGGCTCCTCAGGTCCCGCTCTCTTGGGTGAGGCCGAGACCTCCCCTCCAGCCATTTCAAAGTTAAGTAGCCGTTGGCGTAAGTTTTCTTTCTTACCAAAATGCTGAGGTTTTGACCCGTGTCGAACACTGAGGATTGTAAGCCTCATCCTCCCAGCCCGCTCAGCACGAGGGCAGAGGCTCTCCCTCCGGAAAGGTCAGGAAACGTGTCCTCACGGCCGAGAAGCGTGCAGCAGCCAACCACCCACAGACAGCCCGGGCGGAGCGCGACTTAGGCTGCTGGTTCAGGCCGGAGCGCGCCTCTCCTCGGAGTGGAACATGGCGGCGTGTTTCTGGCCAAGGTGGCACAGTCAGAGCGCGCACCTCCTCGGGTGAGCACGTCCTGCAAAGTGCGCACGGCCACGCGGCCACGGCGAGGGCGTCTCCTCCCTGTTCACTGGACCACGGAGACTTAAGAAGAAGCGAGAGGCTCGCTATGCCTGGGTGACATAAGAACAGAGAACATGGCTTCACCGGCGGCCACGTGGCATCATCTGACAGCTCAGCCACAGCAAGGCACCCGTGAGGACACGCAGCGTGAACTGCGTCTGCACTTGGAGGAGGCGCGGGCCGCGCGCAGGCGGAGCTGTGTCTGCCTCTGCGTGTGCGGCCAGGTGCAGCCGCGGGCTCCACCCTTGCGAGGCCCAGGCCAGCGGGTCCCTGGTCTCTGTGGACTGACCAGGAGATGAGGTGGCAGATGCTGGGGCACACGCCTTGTGGCCGTGTGTCCCTGGGAGCACGGGGCGCCAGGAGCCTCCCTCGGTCTCCCGCCCTTCCTCATGGGGACCAGCGTGAGTGGGGCCGCCCCGCTGCTCGGGGCCCGAAAACCCTCACCCGCCGCCCTCGGGGCACCTTGAGAGCTGCCCTGTGCTGTTTGGGGCCTCTCAGGAATTCATAACAACAGTGACCCCAGAGGCGTTGCTTTTTTCTTTAGTTGTAAAATTGATTTACAGATGGGACTTGGGGGGTGGCAGGGGGGCTTGGGTGCACCGATGAGGTCCATGTTACGTGCCAGTTTGTGGGGTGATCACGGTCACACACGGCCTGACTGACGCCCTTTGTCTGAACCCGCAGGCGCGACGGCGGCAGCCAGGAAGGAGGTGATCCGGAACAAGATCCGGGCCATCGGCAAGATGGCCAGGGTGTTCTCCGTGCTCAGGTGGGTGCCCCCGCCCCGGCCGGCCCGGCCCTCAGCCCTTGCTCTAGAAAAGGGCTGCTCCCTCCTTCCTCCTGTGGGATGAATTGCCCCCCCAACCCCACTGTTTCATACAAACTGCAGCGTACGGGCATTTCTGCAGAGCACTCCCTGCACAGATTGAACCCCAGTAGTCCCACTGCTGTAGGTGAGGGCCCCCCAAACCCTTACCCATCCTGACCTCGGTCATACGAGCAGGACATGGCCTGGGTGAGTCTGACCCCAAAGCTGTTTCTCAAAGAAGATCTCGCTGTAGCGGATACAAACATAAAATTTTGAAGATTAAAAAAAAATACCCAGATTACGGAAAATGTGGCTAAAACACGACGCATAGCTCAGTTGCTCTTGTGTGAAGATCAGGGATGATCCGTGTTCTGTCTGCACGGCCCGGCCTTACTAGGACTGAGCCTAGGTTCTGTGCAGAGAAGTTTCATCCACCTGTGAGGTTAAAGCCGATTTTAAACATAAATACCAAGGAAAAGTGCTCCTTTGAAATGTCCCGGTTTTCCTGAATCCACACATGACCCTTGACCAGCCCTGGCGGTGGGCAGCAGGAGCACCCGAAGGCTGGGTGCGGGGGAGAGCCAGGGGACGTGACCCCTGTGGGGCCAGGACTCTGGGTAGAGGGGCGCTGGCTCCCTTGGGGGCAGGTCTCAGCACTCTCCTCGGCTGGGGCACGTCATGGGTGGAGCCGGAGTCCACTGCGGCCGCCCCCTCCTGGCCTGCGGTGGAGTGTGCAGGGCACCCCAAACCACAGGCTCAGGAAAGGGCGTTTCGAGAGCAGGGGGTGGCTGGCAGGGCCTCTTCCCAGGAAGCCCTGGCTGGGCGGCAAGGCCAGAGCAGAGGGCGGAGGCCGCGGGCCGCGGGGGAGAGTGACCTCGGAGGGGCGGCTCTTGGGAGGGGCGGCCCTGTGGGCGCTGACGCGGAGCTGGTGTGGGGGCCGGTGTTTGAAGCTCTTGTCTGGCCTGTTAGAGTCTTGCCCTTGACCCTCAGGAGAGGCGCAGCTGTGGGGGCTCTGAGCGCAGGGCCTGAGGGCCACACTTGGGGAGCCCCGGCAGGGAGGGGCGGGTGGGGGGGTAGCAGGAGGCCGCAGGGAGCCCATGTGACCGCTGTGCGGTCCAGAAGCGAGCCTGGGGTGTGTGGGGAGGGAGTGGGGCGCAGCCTCCCGGCCCTCGGGGGTGCACCCCCTCTGGTGACGAGCACACTCCGGACGGGCGGCCGAGCTGGTGTCACGGCTCCAAGGCGTTCCCGGAGCCACACGCTGCACTTGCACAGGTCCCCGGGTGCTCGATAAAGCTGTTCCAGAGCCGACGGGGAGTGGGTCTGGTCCTGGAATACTCTGGGGGCGCAGCCCTTGGAGTCCCCATTGGGTGGAGGGGCTGTGGGTGGCCGAGCTGGCCGGGGGCGCCGTGCAGGTGTGGACGTGGGACTGCGGGGAGCCTGGAGTCAGCCCCGGCCCCAGCCCGTGGCCAGGCCGCGGGTCATGTGAGCCCCCCCATGCGCTGTCCTTATCTTTTCTCCCTGGAGGACGCTAACGCCGGCCCTTGTCCCCGCAGAGAGGAGAGCGAGAGTGTGCTGACGCTGAAAGGCCTGACGCCCACGGGCATGCTCCCCAGCGGGGTGCTCTCCGGAGGGAAGCAGACGCTGCAGAGCGGTAAGCGCCCCCGTCCCTGTCCCTGCGCCTGGGCTGGGCAGGACTGGCCTCTCAGGAGACAGCTCCGCCCACTGCCCAGCCACCCCCGGCTGCACACGCACCCCACAGAGAGCAGGCCGGGCTCCCCTGACCTTCGTCCCCTGACCTTCGTCCCCTGACCTCACCAACCCCGGCGCTCCCGAGCGGGCAGCAGCGTGGGGACACCCGCCGCCCTCCTGGGCAGGACCCGCGGTCCCGCAAGCCTCTTCTCCTGTTTATTCCCCCCAAACACGGGAGACTGAGGAGAGACACGTTTTATTTTTGAAAACACCTCCCCTAAGGGAGTGATTCTGTGCAAAGCGTGTCCGGCGGGACCCCAGCGATGACGCCGCTGGCCGCTGCGGCCCAGCCCTGAGAGCGTCCGCGCCGGGGAGCCGGTCCTGGGTGTCCCGTGTCCCGGGCGCTCCCTGCCCGCGTGCCAGGCGCCACAGCCCCGCCCGTCTTTCCTCATCTGGTAACGAGGCTATTAGTCGAGGGCACCTTAAGCATACGTGAAGGCTGCACGATACAGGCTATTGCCATTACATTGTCGGCGCTGAGTTTCCGCGGTAGTCAGGAGGGTTTTGCAGTTGGAGTAGAAGCGAAAAAATGAAAACAGCACACACTAAGACATGCATCTGGGCCTCGGGCCTGTTTTCCTGCTTCTCTCCCTGAAACACACCGTCTTGTGTTTGCTCCGCAATCCCGGCCTCAATGTGCAGGAGGCAGCCCTCCCCGGGCCGCCCGCCCCCCTCCCCGAGGGGCCCCCCGACAGGCGGCCCTGCTCAGCCCTGTCACCTCCTTCATTCTCACATGGATTCACTCCCACGCCAGTGTCTTTGAGGTTCTGCCAACAGGCAGGCAGCTCTAGCGGAAGGCAGGAGACGCAGCGCACTGCAGTCAGGCGCCTCTGTCTCTTACATCTGCACGTTACTTGACAACCTTTACGAGAACCGTCTGCCCGCCCAGGTCCGCGCGCTCCCGGGGACGCCAGGACGGCACCGTCTGTGCACACGCACGTCCACCTGGGCGGCTGGTCTGCCTCGTGCTGGACGCGTCCTCTGGCCCCTCGGCATGGGCAGACCAGGCCGCCCCCGTGTGCAGGGACGCGGCCGGCACCACACCCCATGCGCCGGCGCTGCCGCGGGTCCGGACTTGAGCTTTAGTCTTAAATCTCGGTTATTTAGTCGTTACAGCTTGGCCCACTTCTAGATCCTCACCCCTGTTTTCATTTAAGTTACTCTGTTTCCTTTCCCTTCGTTTTAAACCCGTTGCTTCGTCTTCCTCTGTGCTGAACTCACGCGTACGCCTGTGCTCACACCAGCCCGCAGAGGCGGAGCCTCGCCAGCCCCGAGAGCGGGGAGACTGAGGCCGCCCCGGAACCACCCCGCAGCCGCTCCCGCCCACTGCCCGCCCTCAGTCCCTCTCCGCGGGGCTGCGTGGAGCTTTGCGTCCTCCCTCCACCCCCACCCCCACCCCCACGCTGGTGACAGTCCGTGTGTACCCTGGGAAGCTGAGGACGCGCGGGGAGTAAATCAGAGCGCGCGCTTGGCAGCTGATCCAGGTTTCAGACCTTCAAGTACAGGAAATGTGCAAATGACAGCCGAAGGGCAGACTTGTGAAAGGCAGCATTTCGGAGTTCCTGAGAAACGTCGCGTTCCCGCAGCTGCTTTGGGAACGATCAGCTGCCCTTGGCGACGGAAAGGCCCCCTCACCTGCACGGGGGGCGGCCTCACCCTGTCGCCGAGGTCGCTGGTGAAAGCAGCGACCTGCACGGTTTGCCTCGAAAGTGCTGAGGTTTCCGTGCTGAGGTGACTTTTTTTTCAAAAAGCTGATGGAATTGTCATGCCGCTGCTGGCTTTGTACCCGTCGGCTGTAACATTTCTGGAATCTGATCTCCAAAAGTGATGCTCTGATGAGGAAACATGATTTTATAGGGGCTCCCTGCAAGGGGCCCTCCCGCCCCCGTCCCCCCGTGGAGTCTCACGACCGTCCATTCAGACGGACCCGTTCTGCGCTTCCGCCAGGTCGGCGCCCCGTCTCCCCGCCATGTTAGGAGAGGGCGCTGTCCATGTCCGAGCGAGGATCGCCCCCGACATGGAGCCACCTCCCGTCAGGTCGTTCTCCTGGCATCCAAAGCCTGCGCCGGGCACAGCAGGTCCAGCTCTGCCCTGCAGGCCGCTCGCCCCCCCCAACCCCGTGAGCCGGCCCCCAGCGCTCCCTCCCCGGGCGCCCCGGCCCGCAGCAGGCTCACGGCTCCCCCGCATCGCCTTCCTTCCAGTGTTTCTGTTCTGCTGTCTGTGCCCGAACCCCACCCTTCCAGGAACACACGCTCCTCGGTCGTCGCTGATTTGTTCTTAGAGTTAAAATCCTCTGCTCATTCTCTCCTTCATTTTGCACCCCCTTTTTCTCTTCAGCTACTGTTGAGGCTATTGAGGCTGATGAAGGTAAATGGGCCAGTCCCCTTTCTGTTGTGCCCGCAACAGACAAGGGCTCTGCCGGGTGTACCCCTCGCTGTAGCTTGTACGGAGTGTGTGGGCGTGGGCTAACAGTGTGGCTCCGTATTAACCAGACGTTCTTGCTTTAAAGGGGAAAATGTCCTTTTACGGGTTGTTTGTCTGTTTGTTTCCCTTCAAGCTGTTTCACTTTGTAGAAGATGAACCTCGCATAATCACAGAAAACCAGAGGACCTGGCTCCTGGCCTTGACCGATGGGGGTGGGGCTCCGGGCGGCTGTTGTGAAAACTCACGCCTAAGACAATATTCTTTGAGCTGGACCGTGTCCCTCCCTCCAGTCACTGTCTGTCAGCGCTGAAAAGGAGAGGGTCCAAGCAGCCTGATGAACGCTAGTCAGCGGAAATGTCTAGCCAAAAAAAAAAAAAAAAAAAAAAAACCCCACCTGCACAGTGCTTTGTGGCAGCCGCACGCTCCTTCCTGTCTCGCACACTCCTCTGCAAGAGACAGCTGTGTTTGAGACAAACAGTTCTGCTCGTTTTACCAAATTTCCACTGGCGGATCTGTCATTGGTGGGACCGTGGCACTAGCAAAATCTTAGAGGGCCCAAAAAATACCTACTGGCTGTGGACGTGGCCGGCCGGTGACAAGAATTGGGACTCTGGAGTCACGGCTCGTTCGCTCAGTGTTCACGGGGGGCCAGCTGCGTGCGGGGGCTGCAGGTGCAGGCCGGGGCGCCCCCCCGCTGCCCGCCCCCGAGCGGAGCTCGCCCTCCAGCAGTCGCTCTCGGAGGGCTCCTTAAAGCGCTGTGTTTGGAGGGGACTGCATCTCAGAGAGCTCGAACCTGCTGCCTCCCCCGCCCTCTGGAAATTCACGAAAGCATCATTTGAAGTTCCCCTTTAAAACAATATGATTCAGTTGTATTTTGTTCTTGCAAGCTAACTTTTTCTTTTCCCCCAAATTGTGTGCCTGTGGGACGCTGTCCAAAGTGCCCCTGGAGACTCTCTCTGTCTGTGATTCGAATCTCGTAGGCAACGAGAGACTGTAAGAGAAAATACAACTGCTTCCTAAATAGCAGTGGCCCGACTGCTATTTACGCGGGAATCCCGTCCCCCTGAGCACCCCGACCTGCAGTGTGCATTCTCGTTGACAGTTTGGCTGTTTTCTGTGGTTTCTGTGACTGTGTTGTGTCCAGTCGACTACCGGTGTGAATCGCTAACCCACTGTGTGGCCGCGGCGGGCGCGCTCTTCCATACCAGGACCGCCGAGAAGGACTGACACGGACGCAGCGGGCCCCCTGCTCGCCGGCCGCGCGGCCTCCAGACCAGGACGGGCACTGACCCTTGAAATGGGTGACGTGGCCTCACAAATTGCACGAGGACAGACGTTTTCTATTCACGACGGTGACGGTGACGGGACCACCGGGAGAGGAGCTGGGGGCGCGGCGAGGGCGGCCCCTGGGTGACTGGCTCAGTCCCCAGTGCTCCCGGGACGCAGCTGGTCACTAAGTCAGAGGAGGGGGCGCGAGCCTCGCCGTGGGCCGGCCTCTCCCGTGTCCCCACCCTCCGCTCACAGCCCACTGGCCACCGTTGTGGCGCCCTCCCCTCCCAGAGGGCAGCGAGGTCCCCCCCCCCCCAGGCTGGGCGAGTGGGGCCACCTGGGGTGCTGCCAGGCCGCCCCGTCTGTGCAGGATGTGCAGGACCAGCTAGAGCGAGTCTGCTCGGCTGCCCCTGTTTTTCCCAAGTAAGGTGAGGAGGGGAGAAGCCGCTCCCCTGACTCCACTGCTGCCCCTGTCCCCGCGCTTTATTCCAGCTCCCCGGGGCCCGTGGGGGGACCTTAAGTCCGTCTCCGCAGCCCGCTCAGGGCAGGGTCGCCAGCAGAGCCCCAGTCGGTGCTGCCCCTTGGAGAGCCCGAGTTCTCCTGAGTCGGGCCCCACGAGGGCCTGCGCGTTCTGCCCACGGTCCCTGCAGGCTCCGGCCGCCGCTGCCTCCCATGGCCATGTCCCCTCGGTGACCGACTGGAGGCTACGGTGTCCTGTGCCCGGGTGGGGGTGCACACGGGGGGCGCCGGTCCGGCCGCTCGCTGCCCGAGGGCTGACGACGCTGTTGATGCGTGGTCTGATCTTGATTTTTGCGAGCTTCTCTTAGCCTGGCACCACGCCACAGACGCCCTCAGTTGACTGCAGACACAGGCGCTCACGGCTTCATTTTTTTTCCTGCCGACGCTGAGCTGTTGGCCGAGACAGTCTTTCTGGAATTCCGGGCTGGCAGGGAGACCCCGAGGTCAGCCCTTCCGTGGCAGCCTGTGGCTTCTGCTCCGAGGGAGCGGACCCCGGGCGTTGCCAGCGCGGGACGTGGCGGCGGGCGGAGCTCCAGCCACCCAGGGCCCGGCGTGGCCAGGCCTGGAGCGCCCCCGCCTCCCGCAGCCCCTCAGTCCCAGCTCCCGGCAGGCAGGGCCCCCCTCACTGACGGCAGGCGGACGTGTCGGGTGGCACGAGACGGAGGCTGTTCTCGCCCTTGCGGTCCTCCCGGGTATGGGAGGAGTCTGTGTGCTGTGTCGGGCGTCGCTGTGTCCTCACCCGGGGCCCTCGCGCCCCCCGGCGCCCGCCCCCCCCGCTGCCCGGCCTAACCCTCCTCTCTCCTCTGATGGTTTCCCGTGCAGCTATCAAGGGCTTCTCGCCGCAGCACAAGATCACCAGCTTCGAGGAGGCCAAGGGCCTGGACCGCATCAACGAGCGCATGCCGCCCCGCCGGGACGCGCCGCCCTCCGACGCCAGCCTCAACTCCATCAACAAGGCGCTGGCCGCCGAGGCCAACGGCACCGACAGCAACGGCAGCAACATCCAGTGACGGCCCCGGGGCCGCGGCGGCGGGTCTGCTCTGGGGCCAGGCCTGGACTCAGTTTACACTATCGCTCGGAAAGAGGGAGATGAGAAACTATATTTTGGTGGGGGTGGTGACTAAGCACCTCTTTTGGGTATGCCTTTTAAAATGCTTCTAGGAAAAAAATTTTTAAAGAAAGCTAACGCTAGCACCTGCTGCACCGTTGGGGGTGGCCGCGCAGCCTGCCGCGCGGGGGGGCTGGTGGACGGCCTTTTATTATGTTACTGGACACGAAAACTTTGTCTAATTTCTTACTCTATTGTACGTTTACAGTCGCAGCACTCAAAATGGATGACATCAACATTTTTAACAATGATGTACAAACTAAATAAGGACTATTTATTGATAATGTTTTGCTACTCTTGTCAGACAATGGCTATAAACTGAATTAGGCAGTCTCAAAAAAACAAAAAACAGAAAAAGAAAAAAAAGAAGGTCGCAAATTTGTTAAAAATGCCAAAAAAGGACAGTTTCATTTTGTACAGATTCTGCTTACCTCAGGTTTCTCGTGTGCTTGGCGCCCTTCCCCCCCCCCCCGCCCCGACACTTCTCTGGTTCATTTGGCGATGACGCTCTTTTTCTTTTCTTTGAGTTTAAAAAAAAAAAGGAAAACTGGAATAATGACCTTTCTCTTTCGTTTGCTGTTTCTATTTAGGGGTTTCTGTTCAATCAAGTCTTGGTTGTGGCTTGCTGAATTAAATATTTATGAGTGGTGCATTTTTAAGTATAGTGAACAAGACACCATATTAAGTACAGTGATAAAGCATCTATATTCTGTAAAAAACAAAAAAACAAAAAAATCTGCCTATGCATGTTTTTTAAGAAACCAAACGGCTGTCTCGGCCTGTATGGGACCGTAATGCGCTTAGTGGTCTGACCTGTACCGGAAATGTATGTTCCTGACGTACTTTATATTCTCTACAATGCTTCATGCCTTTCAAATTTTGTAATCAAAAGAGCTTTGACAACAATCTAAAGGGGAGAGTATTCTTAACAGTTTTTAACATGCGCTTGTCAGTGCACGGCGAGGCGGTCAGCATGTTTAGCAAGCCTCGCCCAACTCAGTTTGTAGTTCCGTGTGAGACTAACTGCATGGTAACCGTTGGCGTCCTCACGGTTTCCCCCGTCCTGTTCCGTCACGTGCCACCGAATCTGTGCTTTTTTCACCTTCCGCCCTTTGTATCTCGGTTACGGGTGACCCCTGGGCCCTCCCGACGACGGCGGCAGCAACAGCCCCTTCCTATTTTTTAACGAGTGTGTAAGTGCCCGAGCCGTCCGCCGCGGCCTCCGCCTTGCCTTTGTGACTTGACCTCTGAGATGTTGGCAATCCAAGCATGCACCTGTACCATGACACAGAAGCCGCATTTTCTAGTACTACTCAATAAACGTGCATGAACCTGATGCGCTCGCCCCGTCACTCAGTCTGCGGAGGCGACGGCCGGCCCCGGCGTCGGGGTCCGTCCCCCCGGCCGCCCCGCTCCCCGCGGGCTGGGGGAGGCACCGCCCTCCGCAGCCAGCCCCCTCCGGCCGCCCGAGAGCGGCCGGGGAGACCCAGGTCCCCTCTCACCGAACGCCCCGACTGTCGGCCGGCTGCTCAGCCTCGGGCCGGACGCGGGGCCGGCTCGTTTCCGACGCGGTTCCTCCCCGGAGCACTTTGTTCCCGTGACGGAGCGCGCCCGGCCCACGGAGCCGTCGAGCACGGCCGTGAGGGACGCCGCGCGCCGACCCGGGGTCGCAGTTGTTTTCTGAGGAAGACGACCCCACACGTATGCTATCGAGTCCAAACGTCTTCCCCCGAGGATATTTCTCCACCCCAAAAAAAAAAAAAAATGACACCCAAGGAAAAAATTTAGATGCAACTTAGTAGAATGATACGAAACAAACGGCACTTGTTACCGAGGTGTTTCTTTTCTTTCTTATAACTGCAGAGAAAATATCCTGACAAAAAAAAAATTCTCCTTTTTTGGATTCTTTTCTTTTACAAATTGTGCTGAGGCAACTATGGCATAGAAATAAACATTTGACATTAAAACGAGCAGTGGATGCGAGTATTGCTTGGTCTGTGGTCCTAGGCAGAGGGCGCGTCTCGGCGCGGCCGGAGCAGGCTGTCGGGGACGTGCCGGTGCGGCCGAGCCGCGTCTCCAGCGGACGGTGCTGCCGGGCCCTGGTCACCAGGCCGGTCGCCTCCACGCCGCAGGGAGCTGCCGCCTGCTGGGGCCGCTCCAGCCGCTCAGCTCTGGCCGGCACGGGCGGGCGTGAGAGAGGCGGCTGAGCCAGGCGTGCACACACATTGCTTGCACACAGGTACAGGCATACACACGTGGTTGTGTGCAGTGCGCGTGTGTGTGCACCAGGGTAGGCACCTGTGTGCTCGTACAGGTGTGCACAGGTACGCACACAGGCACGCAGCTCCTCCACCCGCCGTCGGGGTGACTTCCCTCTCGGGTTCAAACTCGGCGCCCGGTCCTCGCCCGGGGCTTACGAGCAGGAGCTTGATCTGAGTCACCGACGCTTGGCAGCGCTTCCCGTCTCGCGTCCCTCTGCTTACACTCCTTTAAACTGTTTCTCGAGGACACAGGGAGTCGTCAGAGGCCTCACTCCGTGATGAGGGAGCAGTGTGAGCGGGCAGGCCGCCGCGGCAGGACGGCGGGCCCCCAGGTGGGCCGCAGCGTGGTGTCGGCACCAAAGGGTCACGGTAACTCTGCCGCCGGAACCCGGGACCACCCCGCCCTGGGCGCCCCTTCCCTGCCCCCGCCTGGCCCGTCACGGATAAATGTCACATCTAGGTTTGCAACCCGAGCCACGCTGGCTGATGCCGGGTGGGGTGGGGTGGGGTGGGGTGGGGCAGGGCCTGGGGAGGCCTCAGCCAGCACCCCTAGGTCCCAGTCACCCCCGTCGAGGGGCACCCCTGGGCCCAGCCTGAGCACCCGCCTGACTTGGGCCAGCGGGGAGCCACGCTAGAGATTCTGCTCCCCTGGCGTGTGGCCTCCCGTTACTCACACACGACCCTGCACCCCTGTGTTGCTCCCACTGTTCTAGATTCTTCTATTTCCCACACACACCTGGTGGCCCAGACACCCAGCACTTTGGGCGGGGGAAGGCCGCTGTCCAGCTCCCCAGCAGTGGCCTCTGCGTGGTTGAAGGGGAGCGGGCAGGACACCCGGGAGCCCCGGCACGGCCCTGTGAGATGGGGTCACCAGAGGCACAGGGCGGGCGCCAGGTGGGGGAGCTGCGTCCTGCCCCCGCCTTCTCTAACGCGGGCCCTGGCCGGGGAGCTAGGGGTGTCCTGCACCCCAGGGTTTCTGAAACCTGCCTTGTGGCGGCGTCCGTGGCCAAGGCAGCTCCCCTGGTGCTCAGGGCTTTCCCGCCACCCGCCTGATCCGTCGGTCAGTGCGTGTACAGACAGGCCTGCGACCTCCCTTTGCATCGCCCTGGCGGAGCCTACCCCCACCCCTGTGCTTCCACGCCCAGTTCTGCACCCCGCGGGGCCCCTTGAGCCTGGCTGCCAACTGGGTACACGGCAGCTTTGGAGGCCGGGCTGCCCGCCGTGTCCACTGCCCTCTGGGGGATGCCCCTGGCGCTTCGGGCCTGAGCTGGGGTGCGATCTGGGGGCCGGCAGGGCCCTCACGCGGCAAATGAGGGGCTGCTGTGGACTGAGACTCCCTGGGGAGGCAGTGGGGTGCTGGTGTCCCCCCTCAGACAGTACAAGCAGGAAGAAGGCAGAGGGCAGGGCTGACAGGATGGGGCCTGGGGGGAAGCGTGGACCGGATGTAGCAGGTGAGAAGACCATGAGCTCACGATGCAGACAACACCCAGGAGGAACCGCGGAGAGTGAAGCTTCCCGGGGGGCCGAGCGGCCTCCTGGCCCGGGCAGTGGAGGCCAGTGCGGGGCTGCACACACGCGTGTGGGGCGGGCGGGCGGGGCGGGCGGCAGGAGCAGGCCCCGGGAGCCAGTCGGGAAGGTCCTGAGCCCAGAGGCCGCGCCCCTCTGCCTCACGTCCCACCCACGTGCACACGCATGGGGTGCGCTCAGGCACGCGTGGGGCGCCCGTCCTCGCCCCGCCCCGCCGCCCCAAGCCCACGTCCGTCCTCTCTCTCCCGCTGCTCCGGCCCTCGAGTCCCGTGCCGCCCGCCATCGGCCGCAGAGCAAGAGCCGCGCCAGGGCAGGACGCTGTGCCCACGCGGAGACTGCCCGTCCGTGCACCACGTCCAGGAGGGGGGCTGGGCCCGGGGGCCGCCGCGGCGGGGGGTGCGTGCCGGGGGAGGGGGGCGGGTGCCGGGCGAGCTGGTGCAGCTGCCATGCCGGGGACTCCCCACGACTGCCGGGGCGCGGCCTCCCAGCTCCTGGAAACGCTGCGTGTGCGGGAACCGTTGCACGCAGAGGACCCGGGCTGTGGCCGGCGCGTTCTTGGCGCCCTGGCTGTGAAATCGGGGCAGGTGGCGGCTTCCTGGCGCACGGCCGCTCCGGGAGGGGGCCCGGGCGGTTTTCAGTGACGAGCAGGGGTGGGTTTCCTTCTGCTCGTCGCTGACTCCGAGGCGCAGCCAGGGATTTCTCGGCTCCAGCGATTCTGCCGGGCGCTGGGGCCTCGGTGCGACCACAGCTCGGCCGTTGCTGCGTTTCAGATGTCACGGGGGGCAGGCGTGTCCGCTTGCGGTTTCCAAAAGCCGAGTCCAGACAAAGCTCGGGCGCCGCGGGCCATCGCAGGGAGTAGAAGGACGCGGGGGGACGGGGCTGGCGGGCTGCTGGAATTCCCAGGAGCCCGCGGCGAGGCTCCGCCTCCCAGAACCGCCCTGGGCAGAGATGGGCACCCGCCCCGCCCTGACGGAGGCCCCCGGGCACGGTCTCCCTGCCCCAGGTCTGCGCGGGGTGTGAGAGGGACTTGGGGAGCAGGGGAGGCCTGGGGAGGCTTGGGGAGTCCTGGGAGCAGGCGCCCTGGAGAGCTGGAGGTTTACGGGTGAGGGAGTCGGCTCCCCGCCTCCCTGGGTGCTGAGGAGATCCCCGAGTGCACGTCAGAGGAGCCCGTGCCCCCACAGTCTGCGCCCCGAGTCCAGTCCCACCCCAACGGGAGGGTCCTGAGGGGCACAAGTCAATAGACCCGACCCGGCAAAGCGCGGCCCCCAGGAGAAGGGCGCGTCCTCAACGCCAGAGGTGGGAACGCTCGCCCCCGCCGTTCCTGCAGCGGGCACCCCTGGGCTCCAGCGGGTGTGGGGGCGTCTCCCCCTCCCAGTGCCACGTTCCCGCAGCCGCCTGAGCTGGGCAGCGTGCGTGAGGGGCGGGGAACGGGAGCTGCTGGTCGGCCCCCGGAGGCGCAGTGGCCCCACTCTACCCCCCCCCCCGAGCTGGTGAACCACAAAGGGGGTGACCCGCAGCCTCCGGACTCAGGATTGGGTCCCATTAGCTGGAGGGGGCCGGGGCTTTGGAGGCCGATGCTGGCCAAGGCCGCCGCAGAGCCAGGAGCGGGTGAGCCGGGGGGCGGGGGGGGGTGGCGGGTGGGGGGCTGCTGCCCTTGACATGTTCGAGAGGAGGAGAAGGTGGAAATGTCCCATGAGCATCTGAAGACAGAACATCACCCGCCAAGCAGAGGCTGATTGTGAAGACACTTCGATGGCCACAACCGGGGCCGAGTCCGGAGCTGCTTCGTTCCTCCGAGGGCCTGTCAGCTGCTTCTCCCCCGGGCACTCGCGGCGTCAGCCTCTGACCTCACTGCGGAGAGTGGCCGTGGGGTGCAGGCACAGTCAGCGCTGCCGTCCCGCGGGGGCCCCGGTGTGGCGGCGCGCCCTCCGCCCGCGGCCATCTCTCCCGGGAGAAGCCGTGTGCAGGCGTGTGAGCCGCGGCGTCTGGCATCCCCCGGCAGGGCTCACGCCTCCAGACCCAGCGTTCGGCGAGCAGGGGCCCGGCTGCTGTTTGGACGGTGCCAGGAGGCCAGCGGAGCCGGGGGTGAGGTGGGCAGGGCGCAGCCTCCCCCTCCGCGGTGTCCTGATGCCAGGCTTGGGGCTGGAGGGGAGGGGTGCGTGTCTGCACCCCGGGGCCTCCGGCTTCGGGCAGGGGACGTGGTGTTTGTGCCCCGGCGTTACTTTTCCCCTGATCCCGGGCGTTTGCGTGTCTTGCTCCCCTCCTGGAGCTGGCGTGACCCGGACAGCACACCCACGGGGCCAATGGGACGGAGCCCAGAGGAGCCGGCTGCTCCGCCCGGGAGGCCTGGGGCCTGTCTCGCCGACTGAGATCAAAGCTCCGGCCGGCCGCGCGGGGCCATCCCGGGGCCCTTCCCTCCCCGCTTCCCGCTCACAGCCGGGCTCTGTGCTCCCAGGGGCGAGGGCAGTTTCCGAGCTGCGGCTCCCACGCTGGAAAAACACCGCCCGGGCCAGGCGCGGGCTGTCTGGTGCTGTTGGCGCTCCCTCCACAACGTGCTTTCCCTTCCCCGTCCCCGAGGTGCGCCTTCCAGTGGCCTCCATCCCGCTGGAGGCGGGGCCGAAGCCTCC